GTGTGTATTTTAATAACAGTTTTATACCTATTATATAATTTTATGTTCATTGTAAAATATATATAGGTAAGCAGAAAGAGAATAATCATCCACAGATAAAACTGTTAACATTTTGATTGTATTTTCTTCTGATCTTTTATCTACGCATAGTTATTAGACATAAATGGGATCATACTGTATGAAGTGTGATGTTTTTCTGACTTAATGTTGAGCATTAACATTTTTCTGTTATAAGCTCTTCATAAACATTTCTTAATCCCCATATGCTATGGGTTAAATGTGTCCCCTAAAAGTTCATGTATTGGAAACTTGACCCCCATTGTAACAATGTTAAGAGGGTGAGAAATCCAGTTATGATATCTGTAAGGTGGGGCCTTTGAGAAGTGATTGGATCATGAGGACTGTGCCCTTGTGAATGGCTTAATCCATTCATGGAGTAATGGAGTAATGGGCGTGATCCTGAGGGCTTTATAAGGAGAGCCAGTGAGAAGGTGTTAGCTCGCTTGCTCTTGCGATTCTCTCCATGTGATACCCCGAGTTACTGTAGAGAGTCACCACCCAGAAGAAGGCCCTCACCAGATGTGTTCCCTGGACCTTGGACTTCCCAGCCTCCAAAACGGTAAGAAATAATTTCCTTATAAATTACCCAGTTTCAGGTATTCTGTCATAAGCAACAGAAATAGACTAATACATCATATAATACAACATTGAGTGAATGTATATAATTTACTTAATTATTCCTCTACTGTTGGATACTGAAGTCATCATATAGTTTCTAAAGGAAATACTATTATTAAATACAAATTCTTTAACAGCATTGCCAGGTAAAATACAGCTATCCTAGGAACATGGAAAATGGCTGAAATGCTATTTATTAAAGAGCCATGCAACAACAAATTGAGGGAAAATGAGAAGGAACTCATTTGTGCACTGAGTTAAAATCCAGATAAGTCATAAAACCCAAGTTTCAACTAATATGTAGAAGAATTTCACTTTACAGGAACAGTTTCATAATAATTAACCCCTATTTATTCGTATATAGTCAAAATTGATTCCATGTCTATCCTTGGTGGCAACTGTCAACATAAAGTTATCTAGGAAGCCCTACTTTAACTGTACTGCTTACTATCCTAATTGAAGCGCATTTCAGCTGTTTAGGGCACTATAATGGATTGAATTATGTCCCCCCATACTCACTGAAGCTTGAATTATTTCCCCCATGTTTTATGTATTAGAAACTTAGCCCCCACTGTGACTGTTAAGAGAGTGGGAGATCCTATTATGGTAACTGAAAGGTGGAGCCTTGAAGAGGTGATTGGATTGTAGGTCCGTGCAGTAGTGAATGGATTAAAAATGGTGGTCAGGGGTGTGGTTCTGAGGGCTTGAAAAGAAGAGAGCAGAGAGTCTGTCTCTCTCTCTCTCTGCTTCCACTGTCTTGCAATGTGACACCGCTGGGTCACTGTCGCCACCACCATCATCAGATGGGACTTTGGGCTTCCCAGCCTCAGAAACTGTAAGCAGTAACTGTCATTTTCTTTATAAATCACCCAGTTCCAAGTATTTTGTTATAAGCAACACAAAACGGACTATTACAGGGTATAAAATTAGCCTTACCAGATTTAGGCATGCTAGTTTATGGGGTTAGCTTTGCAGTTAAGAGGCTTCTGTGTAAGTTTATCAAGGTTTGATAACTTTTTGTAGATCTCTCTGCAAAATGAAACACTAAAAGTAGAACTGGACTGCAGTTATGACTACTTGATTCCAGCTTAAGGCTAAGCAAAAGCTGCAGCTGTTCTCAATGTGTCAGTGTACTCTGATGGCCCGTAAAGTCTGCAGCACAGAGTGACTTTCTTTGGTACCTGTTTTTACCTGATAGTAAGCAGCTTGCTGTAACTGATCAGTGGCTCTTTCAACATGTACCTCCGAGCTTTCCACATTGGCTTCTATGCTATCTGCAAAAAGGAGGACAGTGGATGTTTTAGCACACTCAGATGTTTCAAGACTGCAAATTGTACAGATTTCTGATGTTATAGGTCCTGGTTTCATTACCACCATCCCAACTATCCAGCCATGACATCAAAAGTCTACCTTGAAAATCCCTGTTCTTTGGAAATAAACACTAATGTATGTAGGGGTGAAAGGCTATGAAACACACAACTCACCCATAAATGATTCAAAAAAAATTATGTGTACACATACAGAAAGAGTGAAAGTACATAATAAAGCGAATGGGGTAGAATGTTAACAAGAGGTAAATCTGGGTAAAGGGTATAAAGGAATACCTTGTAGTATTTTTATTTTTCCAACTTTTTATAAACTTGAAATTATTTCCATACAAAAAGCTTTTTTAAAAAGTTATTAATTCCATATGCAAGTTTCCAGACATCAAAGCTGGGAAGCTGACAGCTATTTCTCTAAACAAAGACTTACCAAGAGGCTATAGCAAGTGAATGGGGCTGAATATTCATAGAGGCCTCACTTTAACTTGTACATTTGACAACATAAGAAAATTTCTAAGAAAATAAAATAGCATTCCTAAACCTTAATTCTATAGCTGAAACATCTTACTGACTTCTTTGCACACAAATACTATGAACTCACCTTAAGGTTAAAGATATCAGTAATACATACCAATCAGATCACCTTGGTCATGGATCATCATGGCCAAATCTTTAAATATCTGATTGACGTCCAAAATGTCAGCCTAAGGAAATCAAAAAACAACTAACATTAAGCAACATGTTAGAAGATTCATTTCCTCTGCTTACCTAAAGTTTTAGCCTTTAACATAATATATGTGTTTTTAAGGCTCTGTATAGCATATTTTCTCCATATACAGAAAATGATCTATCACTACCTACTTAATATTGTAAAACAGAAGGCATGTAAATCTGCCCTTCAAGCAATATTAATGAGACATGCTAAATGGGAACCAGGAAGATGGTTCAAGTCCAAACAGTATAGAGTAGAAACTAAAGTGCTGGTAGGGACAAATTCTCAGTGTGATAGCCCTATGTGGAGCCTAGCCTGGGTCTCATGACAAAAGCCTGTGAGTGCCTTGCAACAACAACTACTGGGACTTTGGACTAGAGAATTTAAATGGTCTTATAGGATCATGCTACCTGGTGAATGGGAGAAGGAGATACTCAAAACAGGGAGCCTCTAACTGCTTTTAACTGACCGATAGCTGCTTGGTTGATGGATGGCAGTTCCAAGGTGAATAAACTACATCCTGTTTGGAAGGCTGCTACTCTGATTGAGGGAGGTAAAACAGATCATCTCAGTGGGCTGAACTGTATGCTGTTTTCTTAGCAGTGATGGAAAGATTGAACAGTGGTTAAAATCCATGATCTTACTGGTTTGGGTTCTTACCCATTTGTGAACCGTGACCAATGGCCTGGCCATATGGTCAGGCAGAAGGGCAGTGGAAACCTGGCCTATTAAAGGGATGCTAATAATGGGGCATGGCCCTATGGAAATTTTTTTATTTTTATTTTATTTTTTATATAAAAGGTGACTGGTAAGGGGATCTTAACCCTTGACTTGGTGTTGTCAGCACCACGGTCTCCCAAGTGAGCTAACCAGCCATCCCTATATAGGATCCGAACCCATGGCCTTGGTGTTATCAGCACTGCACTCTCCCGAGTGAGCCACGGGCCGGCCCTGGCCCTATGGAAATTTAAGGGGTGCATTTAAGGTAGGACATGTCGATGTCCATCAGAACAACTCTCTTCCAGGTTTGGAGGGTGATTGGAATCATAACTTGGCAAGAATAGTTCTTGCCAGCATTTCAGTCACTGGATAAGACTCTATTGTAGTTGAGGCAGTCTACTAGTTGCTGTGGATACAGCTAACTGAGGTGGGGGAGAATAAGTGTACAGTAAAATAAATGAGAAGAAAGGGTGTTATACAGGAAATAACTAGTGAATGGTATAGAAAGGTATGCAGAAGAGGAAGACTTTACAGAAGAGGTAGGACTTGAGTTGTGTCCAAGGAGAGGCCATATAAACAGAAAGGCAACTGAGTTAAAGAGCAAATAGCCCAGCTTGGCTGTAACATAGGGTTTGTATGTTAGAGGTGGGAAATGACTGGATATGAAAATTGAGAAGGAATTTGGACTTCATTCTGCTGAATGTGAAATGATCCATTAAATTCCTGACATCCATTATATTACATTCCTTCCCTTAGCTCTATGTCTCACTCTACTCCCTGCTATAACAGTATTTCTAATGTTAGAGAACCAAGACAATGATTATTAGCAGTAGGTGAAAAAGAGTAAAGAAAAGCTATAACATCTTTGAAGGCAATAAAATAATCATAACTTCTGATAAACTATCTCATCTGAAAACAGACACTAACGGGCTCTAGGGCAGTGGGTCCCAATCATGACTGCACATTATAATCACCTAGAAAGCTTTAAAGAAAATATCCATGCCCAGGGCCTCATCCCCAGAAATTATGATTTACTAGGTTGAACCCATATAGTGTGAATATTTGCCTATTTTTAATCTCCAAAAAGAGGAATTTCACAGTTCAATCTAATAATTGGTGGGGGGGAGGAGAGTTAGGGCATTTTAGAAACATCTTCTCCATGTGATTCTAATGCTCAGTCAGTGTTTAGAACCATTGCTATAGATGAAGGTCAAGGAGGAACTCAAAGTTACTCCCCTTCCTGTGCCAGGGCTGGCAGCCTTCTACCTCCACAGAGGAGAAAACTACTCAGGTTTAAGGATATTTTACAGTCACTGTGCAGAGTTAAAGTTGGAAGCTCAATTAGGTAGAAATGGGGTATAGACCTCTCCCTCAACCCCCACCTCAAAAATGTTCTGACCTACTGAAGTGATAAGATCTACAATTTGGGATTGGACTTATGGATACACAAAAATACAGCAAGACTTTTGGCCTGCCTTTGCACTGGGCTATTCAACTCACCTAAGGGGCTCTCCATAGAGCCCTGCTTAACCTAGAGGTTAGCTTTGAGATTTGGAAACAAAGTCCTAATAAGCAATAAAATATTTGTTTGCCTTATTCTGTTCTCCATGCATATTTCTCAAGGAGACCATACAAGATGTGGTGATTGAGTAAAGGATTTGGGTACTCCTGGGCACAAAGGCCAATATCATCATAACAGTAGTTCAAATTTACCATGATTACATTGAGACAGATAATATGCAAATCACACAGTGACTCATTTTGTGCTTTTTCATAATCACTGACAGAAAATTCAGGTGGACCAGAGAGACCAGATACCTGCTGACACACTGAATCAAACAAAAAACATGACCTGCTCTCACCTCCAGCTGTTGAATTGCTGTTTCCCTCTCTTTAATAAGTTCGAGATCCTGCTCAGTGATGGCCACCTCATCCTCCTGGCTCTGCATCTGGTTCCACTCCTCATGGCTGCAGGGAGATAAAAACACTTGTTGATTCCTTCTCTCTAAGGTATGACAAGACATACCTACAACATCTCTACTGCCAGCAGAACCTATCCAAAAACATAACCAGGGCTCCAACTCCTCAGTATCAATACAAAGTCCCTGAGAACCACATTCTTCATATCCAGAGGCAAACAGTTGATAATACTAAGAAAGCAAAGTCTCAGCTTTCATGGGCAAAACTGAGGGGAAGCAGAATTATGAGGGATGGGACTCCTTGTTGTTTCCATTTAGGGGTACACTCTGCATTCTTGCTGGGACTTGCTACACAAGGCAAGTAGCCAGAGATTTAAACTCAGTGAATTACACTGAACATCCCTTTCCAGGGCTGTGTTGGAACCTTGGGTACTAAATGGGTAGAGGAGAGCAGGGTAAGTGACCTATCAGTGCTTCGCCAATTACTTTAACAGAAACACATGTCCTTGTTTTCAGGAATGGCCTTGAGGTTGTGCTTTGCATTAAACACCTCTTAACAGAAATGCTATAACTCTTCTCAAGTATTTAGAAGAAAGGCATATTACTTATACTAGACATGAATCTCTTTGAAAATCCAGAATTCAGGCCGGCCCGTGGCTCACTCGGGAGAGTGCAGTGCTGATAACACCAAGGCCACGGGTTCGGATCCCATATAGGGATGGCCGGTTTGCTCAATGGGTGAGCGTGGTGCTGACAACACCAAGTCAAGGGTTAAGATCCCCTTACCGGTCATCTTTTAAAAAAAAAAAAGAAAATCCAGAATTATACATTTTTCCAGCAGTATGACTAAATCATATTCATCTCCACAATATTTAAAGAATGTCCTCCTTGTGCGGGAAATACAAAACTGAATAAGACAGAGTTCCCCGGGCCTTTCAGGTGCTCATAGCGTAATGGAGCGAGATGGATACATATCTATGACAAAACACATTAAGTTCTAAACTAATAGGATGAATACATTCCTATGGGATAGCTTGGAGGAATTAAGAAAGGAGACATCTTTCAGATACAAATTGCATTTCCTCTTGATACTCCTGTAAGAATGAGTTGCCCCATGTTAGAGGTGAATGGACAGAGACCAAAGAACTTTGAAGAATTTAAATCTGAATTAGAGGTAAGATGATTTAGACCTCCTCATCTGTAGATGTGTGGGTTCATACTTATTCCTAGTGAGTCAAGCCCCCTCCTCAACACAGAGACATCAGGGGTTTCTTGGAATTTTTTAATTCATCTTGAAATTATTTCTTCCATAATTCAAAGACCTTGGAAAACACCCATGGTTTTGACTTTTTAAATTTTATTTTATAGATTATTGGTTACTCATCCCAGGTCCCCCTTTATTTTTTCCTCCCTTTTTTTCTCGTTGACTTTTTATTTATTTATTTATTTATTTTAAAAGATGACCGGTGAGGGGATCTTAACCCTTGACTTGGTGTTAAGTCACCACGCTCACCCAGTGAGCCAACCGGCCATCCCTATATGGGATCCAAACCCATGGCCTTGGTGTTATCAGCACCACACTCGCCTGACTGAGCCACGGGCCAGCCCCTCTCATTGATTTTTTAAAATTAAAAATAGTTAGAACTCAAATAACATGATTTTTTAAAAAATAAATAAATATAAAGACATAGACTCCCATCTCAACTACCCAGCAGGTTGTATGAATAATTCTTTTACCTGTCAAATGAGACGAGCTGCTCTTCTCTTTGCCTCTCTTCTGCCTAGAAAGCAGATGGCATTAGCGCTACGGTTATCTAGAAACATGTCACAGGCACACAAAACAAGGGTTCCTTAGCTATGGGATAAAGAAGCAACATCCCTTGGCTCTGACAGGATCTGTAAGATGACACAGGACTGTGGCAATCTATCTCAACTAAGAAAATGGCTGTGAAGTGGTTGAAAGCAAATCTGAATTCCAGTTTGGGCCCACAACAGAAACCATACTGAACAGGATGAGAGAAGAGCATGGGTGGAAGAGAAGGATAAATAATAATAATAACAACCTATTTTAAAATTTTGAGAGAGGTAAATTAAGGGGACGAGTTGAAAACTTGCAAGAAAATAAGTTTCTAGAACATATAAAGATTTTTTTAAATAGACATTTATAGCATATTAGGTACTAAAGTGGCTTCAAAATGCACTTCAAAAATCAGTCTAATGCATATATTACTTTTGTAATTTAAGAACAAAGAAAAAAATGTTCAAGACCAATTTGTTCATTTTTTAAAAGCTCGCTCTTTTTATAACAGAAATACAGGACAAACAAAATGACAAAAATTTCAAAATTCTACCCACCCAGAGGAACATTGGTTTTTTGTTGTTTTTTGTTTTTACTTTTTCCCTTTACTTTTACCCCATATCAAGAAACAGAACATTGCCAGTGTCCTAAAAGCCCACTGTGAGCCCTTCTCCAATAACAACTGCCCCCTTCTTACAGTATAAAGTATCCATTATCCTGACTTTGTGGAAATCAATGTCTTGCATTTTTAAAATGATGATATAAATCCTTATTCAATATTGCTTTGCCTGTTTTGAACTTTACATAAATGGAATTATACTGTTTGTGTTCGTTTGTGCTTTGGATCATTCCAGATTACGCCAGATCTATCCCTGGTGCTGAATGTAACTGTGGTTTGTTCATTTTCTTTGCTGTGTGCTATTATAGTATGTGAATATATCACAATGTATTTATCCATTCTACTGTTTTTTGGTTTTTTTTTCCCTTTTTGTCTTTTTTCGTGACCGGTAACGGGATCGCAACCCATGGTGTCACACCCGTACCGCGACCGGCAACGGGATCGCAACCCTCGGTGTCGCGCCCGCACTGCGCTCAACC